CAAAATAAAAAATAAAAAAAAAACAACAAAACAACAGATCAAAAAAAAAAAGCAACAGATCAACAACAACAGATTATCATCATCATAGATCTCACAGATCTGAGCTGCAATCTATAATATATATATATATGTGTGTGTGTGTGTGTGTGTGTGTGAGTATAACATAGAGAAAGAGAGAGAGAGAGGAATAGAGAGAGATAGAAAGAGTCGGTAGAGAAACAAAGGAGATCGGCGCTATGAAGAGGACGACTCTCTTTTCTCGGCAGAGGAGATCGCTGGTCTGGCAAAGGATCAACTCTCTGCTCTCTTTCTCTCTCTTTCTCCCTCTCTATTTTTCTCACGCAAATCAACCGTGTGTGAGTGTGAGGGAGCAGTTGTGTGAGTGTCTATCAACAAAATAAAGACACGCACATACACACACATATATATATATATATATATAGACAGGGGTAAAACAATAATTTTACTTCGGGGAAAAATGGGCGGGGATCGAGGCCAAGGACGGGATTGGAAAACGTATCACCATCTCCGACCCGAAAATCATCGGGGATTCATTTTTGAATACTGTCCTCTGTCCGTCAAGGGTATTTTTTTGGGAAAAAACCACTATAATCAGGGTCGGAGGGCAAGTCCCCGTCGAGTCGCGTTCAAATTTCCATCCCTAGGTGGGATGCAATATCACTACGCCAAAACAGGGCATTAACGACGGGCTTTTTAACGACGGTTTTCGTTACCACCGTTAAAGATACTATTAACGGCGGTAACGAAACCGCAGTTAATACCACCGTTAATGTATCTTTAACAGCGGTTTCGTTACCGCCGTTAAAAAAACCGCCGCTAAAGCCCTCTCATTACCGTCGTTAATGACGGCGGTCTTTGCCGGCAGAGCTTCGGCGAAACTCTGGCAAGTGGTGACCACGCGCGGCTAGAGGTTGAACATGACCATCTACAATAAAGCAAAAATAATGTTTAAATATTTATTTAGGGAATATATTTCATATAGAGTGGCTATGGTGGAGTGGTTGGCGTGCATGGATTAGAGGTCAAGGGTTCAAGACTTAGGGGCTGCAAGAAGAGAGAATTATTTTTTTAAAAATTTGAACCTGTTTACGGCAGTAAAGAACCGCCGTTTTTTGTCCTATATTACTGTCGTTTTTGGTTGACTTTTAATAACGGTAATTTACCCTTTTACGACGGTTGTACCTTTTCCTACACGAGTATAAACGACGGTCCTAAATTACCCCGTTAAAGGTTTTAACAGCGATTTTACATCTTTTAACGGCGGTAAAAAACCGCCGCTAAAGCCCAATTTTGGCGTAGTGTATTTACTGTAGTTTCTTTTTAAAGAAAAAGTTACACCCTTAGGCCTCGTTTGAGAACATGCTAATTTAGTAACTTTTTTGTTATTTGGCTAAAATATGAACTAAAAAAAACTAGTATGTTTGGGATGACTTTGACTTTTTACGAAAAGATGTGCAAAAAGTAGAGAGAAAAGAGAATTTTTAACTTTTTGGTATGAATTGTTGGCTTTTAGACTTTTTTAATAACTTTTTGGCTAAACCGATCGCTTCCCAAACGAGACCTTAATATATATTTGTTTCCCATCCTAATGTTTACATTCTCATCAATTTGATATTGGGCCGTTAGGTACTTCTTCTTTGTTTAATGAATAAAACTCCTCTTTTTTCTTTGTCAAAAAAAAAAAAAAAAAAAAAGTGGGAAAGGAAAGAAAAAGAAAAAGAAGTAATAATAATAATAATAATAATATAGAAAAACATATTTATGAAACATGGATGAGAAGTTGAGATGTAAGTATATAATATATGACATTGTCACGTCAGTGTCATCAACATATATTTTTAGTCCAATATCCCCTTCCTTCATCCAGCAAAACAAACACAGCCTCAGACAATCATATAAAAAAATATCTTCTCCACCTTGGCCCTTTTCTTCATCTCCCCCTTGAATTATTTATGGATCTAGTTTTCTTGAATATATATATATATATACATAAATGAAGAATGTGATGCCTAGTTCTAAATAATATTTTTTAAAAAATATAAATAAATAAATACTAGAGACATACCATGTGATTTTGAAGATAGATTACATTGTCAAATAGATGTGACGTGGTTAAGTGATTATTAATGTTTAATCAATATAATTTTTTGATATGAATAATGTACTCAATGAGCCCTACTAGATAAACGGTTTAGATCATTGAGACGGGTTCTATGTGAGCCCACAATTGGTCAAACTAGACCTCTTTAATCCGATTATGGATTGAAAGATAAATTGCATTCTCAATATTTGAAGTTGGTATATTGCTATCATTAATAACTAACTAATGTATGTGCGTCACATCAAATAGTAGATGAAATGTGATAAAAAAAATTGTCTCGTTGTCGCATTACTTTAATATTAAATTGTAAATTATCAATTTATTTAGAAGTTTAAATTGTTACATAAATATAACTTTATATATAAGAATGTGATATTGAGATATAATTTAAGATAATGATGTGATAATAACATTTACAATTACGAATCACAATGATTGTCATTTTGACTTCAAAGGAATAGATATAAATGCGACACTTTTTATATACAAATTCTGTTTGTATATAATTGTACTCATGAATATTCTTAACATATTTCTTCATGTGTGAATAGACTCTACTTCCTAAGTAGGTCATTTATTTATTTTATTTATCAATAAAATATTTTTAAAATAACAATTTAATAAATTATACACTAAATACTAATTGTATTATGGCCCCAAAATTGTATGAAATAATTGAGAGATAACTATTAAGAAATGATTGACATACATTTATTAATTTTTCTTAGTAATTTTTTAATAATGCTTGTCTAAGTAATTATCATTTTCAAAAAGGTCATTTTTTGCTACACTTAATTCGCCCCTAACTAAGCAAAATTCATTACTTTGTGCCTGTTGATAAAAAAATGAATTTGGTAAAAGTGAGTAATTATGTAGTATATTTCTTTGTACAATAGTATTTTTTATACCACGTATGACATTAGTATATTATTGATTTTTCTACTGAATTATATTGAATTAACTTCAAAGTTTTTACAATGCACAGCAACTAACTATCTATCAACTTGAGTTGAAAGCAGGCACATGTGGGAGAAAGGATAGTCACTCACGCGTTCACGCAAACTACTAGAAAATGGTGAGATCATTAGCCAAAGAAGGACCGAGGTAGTTTCATAGGAATCCGGTTAACAAGCTTGCAAAAATTTTAGTTTTTTGCCATTGCCGTCTCAAAAATTTTTAGCGACGATAAATGAAAGTCATAACATAGAGCATTGTTAAAACATTTTAGCAAAGGTATGATGCTGTCGTCTGTTTTTTGCGACGACAAATGTTGTCTTGCCTATAATATATAAAAAAATTAAGATATTTTGCAACGACAATATTGTACCGTCGTTAAAAGTTTTATTTGAGGCGGTAAAAAAATATTGTTGTGAAATGTTTTTTGTTACGACGGCATGACCTCTGTCACTAATTTCTTTTGCGACGGCATTGCCTATTTTGTCAAAAAAATACAATTTAGTTCTAATGTTTTTTGCGACGGTATGGTGCCGTTGCCAAAAAAATAAAATAAAAATAAAAATATTAAAAATATTAAAATTACTTGTATTAAATGAAAAAAAAATTGAAAAAGAAACCAATAATTGCATAATAATATAAAAATTCCTGTATAGAAATAACAATTTCTCCATAATAAAAATATTCTTACATTCATAACTACACATCAGCAAAATTACCCCACTACATAATGTTCCATAATACATACATAATGTTTAAATACATAATGTTATTCACAATTCAAAATAACATAAACAAAAACAAATTTTTTTTTTCCTCATCATTCTCCATGGGTAAAAAAAATAAAAGTTAGTCGCATTCTTTACAGGCATGCATTCTACAAGAATCAAACTCCTGCTTGGGAAATATCTGAAAACAAAAAACAAAAATAATTAATGACAATATAATTATGTATTAATATGTTAATTGCAAAAATACAAATAAAAATTTAACTACTATACAATTACAAAGATAATTAAGTAAATAATTTTGCCTAGACCGAAATCCGGCTCTAACTCCCAAATCGGGAACCCGATTCGAATCTCGTCTTCTCCCACAAGTCTCTCGTGCCAAGACGGTCGTGTGTGCCAAGTTTCATGCTAACCCGACGCCGTTTAGTGATTTTGGGGCGTCAACCCCTCAAATTCTAAGTTTCTTAAGGAACTAATCTGCCTAGATCGAAATCTAGCTCTAACTCCCAAATCGGGAACTCGATTCGAGTCCCGTCTTCTCCCACAAGTCTCTCGTGTCTAGGCGGTCTTGTGTGGCAAGTTTTGTGCTAATCCGATGCCGTTTGGTGATTTTAGAGCGTCAACACCTTGAATTCTAAGTTTCTTAAGGAATTAGTTTGCCTAGACCGAAATCCGGCTCTAACTCCCAAACCGAGAACCCGATTCGAGTCTCCGTCTTCTCCCACAAGTCTCTCGTTCCTAAGTGGTTGTGTGTGCCAAGTTTTGTGCTAATCCGACGCTGTTTGGTGATTTTGGGGAGTCAACACCTTGAATTTACTACAACATACAAGACTTTTGGCGACCAATTATTTTGGTCCCTAAAACCATTATTTCGGTCTTTAAATGGTTTTTGTGACAAAATTAAATTCGTTACTAAAAACGTCACCAAAAGTGCGTCTAGAAAAGTCTTTAGCGACGAATTTTTGAAAATGTCATTGAAAATGACAATTAGCGACCAATTTTATGTTGTCACAAAATGTTTGATTTTACAAAACTAAAATAATTTGTCGCTAATACTTTGTCTCAAAATGTTTCCATTTGGTTACAAAAAGCAAAATAGTGACCCTTTTAACAACAAATATATTTGGTCGCTAAAGGTTTGAAATAACATTTTGAAAACATTCAATTTCATAGCTACAAATTGACATCCACAACCCAAATCTATCTCTGTATATAGAAAAAAAACAAGATCAAATCTTGTACACAAGATCAAATCTATTCTTGTATATACAAAAAGCAAATTACAAAAATCAAAACTCTAAGTATCCAAATTCACTTCAACATAGTTCATTATATGAGTTAAATCCCAAAACAAGATCAAAATAGTTCAATGTTGTATGAGCTAGAACTCTATGACGACTTCAACTTTGTCTTTCTCTCGCACCACCTCTTCACAAGTTCAGTTACAAGAGCAACATGCCCTAAACAATTAATTGTTCCACGACCACAAAAGCTTATCACCGTCTATAGTCATAGAGAAAGGATGAAAATCCTACACACATGATCATAATCAAAAGTGTAAACAAAGTTAAAAAATGTAAAAGAGATATAGATGAAATCCAAAAATGGATATCAACCTTGAAGAACTTAACTAAGGCTTTTGAAGCAAATAAACGCTCAGATTTTTGGGGCAAATTGAAAGAAAAATTAAAATTTTTTTTTTTGACTTCTATTACAAGTGTAGCATTATTAGCAGCCCAAGTACAAGCAGCCTACACAAGAGTTGCAGCCTCAACACAAGTGTGTGCGATTGCATTACAAGTGTATTCAACAATTAAATCTAATTTGTAGCATATGCAAAGGTATTAACTTCTATTATCAATTTCAGCATGTATTTTATATTTTAATATTTAAAATTTAAAACATTACCTGGTACGTCTTATCATCCCATAATTGACACAGGTATCGCCAAACCTCTTTTTCGATATTCTTCATGTGGGTTTACAAGGGCTGACTCCAAAATTAACATGGTTTCATGATATCACCAAGAAGAAAGCAACATAATGATTTTAATTTATGCAAAAATGATTTAAATTTATTACCGACTAGGCAATCCAAGATACATAGTACTCCCTCCACTTAAAACTATGTGCTGGTAGAGCTACGAAAAACAAAACAAATTAGGGGTTAAAAAATACTTGAAAATAAATTCAAATACATTACAAAGTGTATATTGTACAATGCATGAAGTGGTCACATGGTACAGAAAAAATCTATATCGCAAGACAAGTGTATCTTCATCAAAGTTGTAGGATATATATGTCATTGTTATAACTATTAAGATTGATAATACTAAATGCTTTTAAGTAAAAAACTATAAGAATTATTGCTTACAAAATGACCTACATACCATCATCCGATTATTAATGTCCATTTCCTGAATACAACGAAATACCATGTTAGCCATTCCATCACCTTTGATGTCTATGAGTTCCTGCAAGAAGAAAGCAATTCAAACTTCTACAAATTCCAACCTATCAAAGTATTATTAAAACTGGGTAACCTTATAGATCTAAAAATACTTTACTGAAATCAGCATTCTACATGTTGAGAATGCTCCAACAATGTTATAGTTCATAGAAAACTCCACCAAAATTACTGATTCATAAAATGAATGAATCTGATGGGGCTCAAGATCAGCTATAATTGTAGGAAGGCTTGTTAGAAGCTCATATACAAATGGTTCGCTTTCTCCAATCTGGAAACAATAGAAGAAAAGAATGACACATTCAACGTTATATCCAATATAGAAAATTGACATTTGACCAACAAGATTAAAATAATGCTACCTGTACAATAACAAATTTACGCTTGTACTTTTGAACAGTTTTCAAGAATGTGTCGCAAGCCATATCTTGAAAGAATTATCACACACAAATTTTAACTTTAGTAATTTACTTTTCCAAGATTAAAAGGTAAAATGCTGGCCATAGATGATGAACAAGACATGAATGACAATACCCAATTAACGTAACACCACAAACTCCATATATGATATTAAGAAGGCTATCAAAGTAATTAACTAGAACAATTGAAACAATATAAACACTCCAAATTTTATAACAAAAACTAGAACATAATTAACAAGTCTAAAATAAACACATAGATAGGACACATTGTGTGGATTGTATAAGGAGCAAAAAGTTATTGCAATGCATACCATTAATATCATAAACAACATCAAAGCCTTCGGCTGAGAGACTGGCTTTCACAAATTCAATGTTCGTCATGTCTCCTTTCAAGTGCAAGATCTACACTTAGAATACAATATTTCATTCCTCAACAAAGAAAAATATGAAATTGATCAAAAAGGCAAATAGAATTTTCCAGTGTATATGTCATAATTAATAACCTTGGAAGAAAAATCAGCACAATCCTTCTCTGATTCACCAGGCAATTGTTGGGTGATGGGAGCTTTTCCTCTTGTGAAGAGAGTCACCTGTATTATGTAGTAAACCTGAACAGAGTCACCTTCATTTTCGTGCATGTATATGTAATACATTGGTATGTGACTCAAAGGTTCCATAGTTCATTTTAAAGAATTTGAAACAACATTGCTATGTTGGCAAAAACAGAAACTCATAAACCCAAATCATCCAAGCCTTCAGCCAAAAACAAACACACTCATAGGCCAATCGTAGATAATAGAAGTAGAGAATAAATCAAAAGATATAAGTATGTAGTCTACTGAGAAAAGCATAGTTGAGATCAGGAGTTCATGTTATTCAAACAACAAGATGGTTTATTCTTCTTACCTACTGGGACCTGCTTCAAATCTGATTTCACCCTGCCTCAGCACCTCCCTAGATGGAAAGGACAAGAATTTTTAAATGTTTTAAGGTTTGGCAATGTTAAGTCCAAGTGTAATGGCTATATTTTTTCTTATTTTATTAGGTTTGAACGGGATTTTATTTCTATATTAGTTGTTTCCTATTTCTTAGTTTCCTAATTAAATAGTACGTATGCCTATATATGTATGGCTTAATGTAATAGTTTTACAAATTTAAATTTGTTCACTAGTTTGTGAACAAAGCACTCTTTGATTGGTCTCCAAAGAGACTAATTATTACTATCAAGAGACTTAAAACATTTTTTTTAGCCTTGTGTCTATCAATTGGGTTCTCTACTTGTTCCAGTAGCACATTCCCCCTCCCCCCCTAGAATTCTGACAACAATCTTACCATGCAGGAGTTGAAAAAAATGTTCCAGCCAAAAGATGTTCCAGCCAACACAAAACAGGGAACACAGAACAATCATTTTTTGCACACAAAAGATGTTCCAGCCAACATAGAACAAGGAACATATATGGTCTGGTTCCCTTAACAAACCTGAGTTAAATTAAAATTCACATCAAAAGGATCGAAAAATACCTATAATTAAAATTCACATCAAAAGGATGAAGTAAACAAAAATTAAACAGGATGACTTAAATTAATTTTATTAATTGAACATTAAAACTAATTTTTGGCTACAATTTGTATTAAAAACTCAATACTACTTAAAGGATCAAGAAATACCTTGATTGAGAGTGAATTAACCAATTGATGTCTTCAAAGTAGCAGAAATCTGCAAAAAATGAAAAAGAATATGAAGAATCAACCTATAGAAAAATTGCATCCATATCAAAATGATGAAATAAACAAAAATCAAACAGAATGAGTTACATGGAATTTTATTAATTCGACATTAAAACTAATTTTTGGCTACACTCTGTATTAAAAACTCAATACTACTTGAAGGATCGAGAAATACCTTGATAGAGAGTGAATTAACCAATCGATGTCTTCAAAGTAGCAGAAATCTGCAAAAAATGAAGAAGAAGGTGAAGAATCAACCTATAAAAAAACTGCATCCATGACAATGTGCAGGCCAATCAAACAAAAATGTGAACTACTTATTGTGTTCTTCATAGATCTACAATATATATATATATATATAGAGAGAGAGAGAGAGAGAGACGCACCAAATCTACAAAAAATGCGAAGAACAAGGTAGATCTCAAACTAATCTCTGTATAATCGAGGTTCAGAAAATGTGAAGATGAATAATTAAGCTTGTAGATCTCAAACTGATCTGCAATGGAGATCTACAATGAAGCTTGACATATAGAGAGACCTACAATGAAGCTGCAAGCTACAATGAAGCTTGCGATGGAGCTTGACATATAGAAAGAGAAGTTTTTACGCATCGTGTTTTGCAAAGCATAAGAGCGTGTATTTGCATCAGGTGAGATTTTGTAATTTTTCATTATTTGGTCCCTAAAAAATCAATAATATGTATTGACAACCAAAATTATTAGTCTCAAAAAGTTACACAGCATAACAGGGAAGTCATTTTTGTATTTTTATAAGTAAATTACCATAAGTTTAGATTTGTCTCCAAAAGATTATTTTTAGGGGCCAAATCTAACTAGTCCCTAAATATTAGTCTCTAAAAAACTAATTTCTTGTAGTGATTCTAAGTTTCTTAAGGAATTAGTTTGCTTAGACCAAAATCTGGCTCTAACTCCTAAACTGGGAACCCGATTCGAGTCCTGTCTTCTCCCACAAGTCTCTCGTGCCAAGGCAGTCATGTGTGCCAAGTTTCATGCTAATCCGACACCGTTTGGTGATTTTGGGGTGTCAACATCTCGAATTCTAAGTTTCTTAAGGAATTAGTTTTCCTAGACCGAAATCCAACTCTAACTCCCAAACCGGGAACCCAATTCGAGTGTTGTCTTCTCCCACAAGTCTTTTGTTCCTAGGCGGTCGTGTTTGCCAAGTTTTATGGTAATCCAACATCGTTTGGTGATTTTGGGGCGTCAACATCTCGAATTCTAAATTTCTTGAATGCAGTGACATCTTAATTAAGATCAAGAGACGTTATAATCTCCAATGTAATTATGAATCTTAAACTTTAAATCCTTGAACTGTTTCCTATAGCATATATAAGAAAATCTAGTTGAAACCCGCCTTCATGTATTGAGATAGGTCTTTTCTCCTTATAAACAACTTCATAATGTTTTTTCTGAATTCGTAAAAATTATAACAGCAACACAATGTGTCAAGTGTTTCCAAAATATCTCTTATGGGTTTCAAGAATTCATCCCTAGATGTTTGCCAATAACATTTAGGGTAAAAAAATCCTAAATTGCATTTGTTGTTTTGGAAAGAGAGTTTTGGGTACCTTTGGTGTAGACTAGAGAAACAGCAACATGGATAATGAATACAAGCAGATATAAGATGACTAAAGCATCACAGTTAGAAATGGGCTTACCTCTATATCAAGTGATGGGTACTTCTTTTTGAGTGTGTGTGCCTGAAAACCATATTTATGGACTGTGGAAATGAGAAGGATGGAATAACAACATCAATACAAATAACGATGGTTTACACACCTTATCTATCATTTCTGACATGAACTTCTGTCCACCAAATCCAGGTTCCACAATCGTCACAATAACCATTTCCACAGGATTTTCATTGTCAAGCTGTGGACTAGGAAAGAGAAAATAAGTGCTAAATGTAAGGTATCAAACAATCTTTGTTTTAATTATGGTGTAACTTTACTCCGTTACAGAAACATGCTTTTTGTTTCTACTTTCCAACACATGTGTCAAATAATCTTTAGTTTAAATACTTCAGTTTAACTCCACTTCATTTAAGGGAAAATGCCAGGTAAATAGCAAAACTTGAGAACTTAAAAGAACAATAAATAGGGTAAATGCTTACCAGTAGATACACATCTTCAATAAGAGTTCCAGGCTTTAATGCCACACCAAGCCTTATGCCCTTTGACTTAATCTGCTGGACAAGTTCTTGCCAACTGTCTGTAAAAGATAACCATGTGACCATTCAATTACCAAAATATTGAAAAATAAAAATAGAAAATAAAACTAATTAGGCGGTGTCAAAATGGAAAATATTTCACTGTTTACAAATCAATATAAGTAACAATTGTTTCAACAAAGAAATATGTGTCAAAAAGCTAATACCAAAGGAAAAGCATAAGTACAATAACACTGTACACATAACTCATGCTAACTTGGCACTCAAGTTGCAAACAAGATCATCATGAGCAACTTGCATAAGAAACAAACAAATTAGGGTTTTCAAATTGGGGTTTTTAAATAAAAACACAAGCCAGCAAACCCCAAATCAAAACCAAAAATTCAATCCCAAATCAATCCCCAAAATCAAGCCCCATTGTGATATATTCAAGCCCCATGGTATCGGAGACAAACCCCAAATCAATGAGCATTACTTGATAAAAATACAGAGGGAAAAAAAATCAAGCAAGAATAAAAAAAGACAACCCCAGAATCAATCCCAAATCAAACCCCAAATGATGTCCCATTGTGATATATTGTGCAAAGCAAAATTACGGAACAACGCCACCAAACAAGCAATCCCAAATCAAACCCAAGAATCAATATCAAATCAAACCCCAAATGACGTCCCATTGTGATATATGTGTGCAAAGAAAAATTAGGGAACAATGCCATCAAACACTGTATATCATAAGAGAAGAAGGCTTACAAAAAAAAAAAAAAAACACTCGCAAAGCAGTGAGGAAGGCCCAATATCGACCACGGCGAACGACCCAACGACAAAGGTATCGGCAAAGATATCTGAGACGCCGCACCGCCGCTGCCGCTACTAGCTGTTGTCACTCGCTGCTCACCGTCGTTGCTCGCTGTCGTCCTTTCTTGCTATTGCTGCCACTGCCACTGCTTGCAGTCATGAGAGAGAGAAAGAGAGAGAGTATTTTAGGAATTTTTGAAATTGGGGAGTTTTTTGTTTAAGGGATTGGGGATTTGAGATGGCGAGAAATAAAAAGGGGGAAAGAAAGAGGGCAATTCGGATAGAAAGAGCCAGAAAAGAAAAAGAAGAAAAGAAGAGGAGAGTTAGGATAGGCGGTGTGAACGATGTCGTTTTATTATTTATTGTTAAAATGAATTTATTTTTTTGTAGTTAATGCAATTTTTTTTTTGATTTTTGATTTTTTTTTTTTTAGTTACTAAGGTTGAAAATTTATTTGTTTCATTTTTATTTTAATGAAAAAAAATTATATATTTTTTTATTTGGTAGATGTAGGGGTAATATTTTAATGAAAATATTTTTCGTTAAAATAAAGTTAATTTTTTGCCTAATTTTAAATATTTCGTTCATGGTCTCTAAAAAATTTGAAATTACATCAAATATTTGAGTCGTAAACGAGTTAAGTTGAATAAAATTTAATAAGATTCAAAATGTATTTAAATTTAATTTGTTTACTTAATAAAGTAATTTTAAATAAATTTTTTAAAAATTGAACACTAATCAAATTCAAGCAACTTAATATTTTAGTGTATTATATATTGCATATATGCGTATTATTATTTTTCTTTCACACTTGTTTAGAGAACATTAAATTGATAGAGAGATATCAAAGCTAAGTGGTCCATGTTGTCATTTGGCGGGCCTACAAAGGAAGGGTAACCCAATAGGTTTGGCCCCAGCATGTCCCTGCACACAAACACCACATCGGTCACATCGATTCAATCTTATTTTTTTATGCGTATTATTATTTTTCTTTCACACTTGTTTAGAGAACATTAAATTGATAGAGAGATATCAAAGCTAAGTGGTCCATGTTGTCATTTGGCGGGCCTACAAAGGAAGGGTAACCCAATAGGTTTGGCCCCACCATGTCCCTGCACACAAACACCACAATGGTCACATCGATTCAATCTTATATTTTTAGAAAAATGTTTGGGAGCACTAATTAGGTGGCAGTGAGTCCCGTCATTAATGATGTGATGTTTTGGTCTTAGAGTAGTATTTTTTTTTTTATTTACTTTTTTAATGCATTAGTGCTATTAGTGGTGATATTTTTAATGGGATGAATCATTTTTGATTTTTTTAGAATAGGAGAAAGTTGTTTTAGTTTATAGAGGGCCGTTTTGGCAACAGGGCAAAAAAAAAAAGTCAATTTTTTAGTTTTTTAATTAAAAAATTTAATTTTTTTATCTAAATTAATTCAGTTTTTTTATCAAAAAAAATTATTAAAAAAGTTAAAAAATTAAATAGTTAATTTTTTATCAACTTTTCAAAACACCACGTAAGTCCTGTTTGTTTTCAAAAATAGAATTGAGAGGATTTATAATAAGAGGATTCATAGTAAGAGACATTACGCCAAAACAGGACATTAACGACCGTTTTTTTAGACTTATGAACATTTTCAAGAATGTGTCGCAAGCCATATCTTGAAAGAATTATCACACACAAAATTTAACTTTAAGTAATTTTACTTCCAAGATTAAAAAGGTTAAAGTAAAAATGCTGCCATAGATGAATGAACAAGAAACATGAATGACAATTACCCAATTAAACGTAACACACAAAATCCATATAATGATTATTAAGAAGGCTATCAAAGTTAATTAACTAGAACAATTTGAAAACAATATAACACTCCAATTTATAACCAAAACTAGACATAAATTAACAAGTGTCTAAAATAAACACATATTATTAGGGACACATGTTGGAAATTGTTATAAGGAGCAAAAATTATTGCAATGCATCCATTAATATCATAAACAACATCAAAGCCTCGGCTGAGAGATGCTTTCACAAAATTCAATGTTCGTCATGTCTCCTTTCAAGTTGCAAGATCTACACTTAAATACAATATTTCATCCTCAAACAAAGAAAAAATATGAAATGATCAAAAAGGCAAAATTAGAATTTTTTCACGTATTATATTCAATAATTAATAACCTTCGGAAAGAAAAATTCAGCACAATCCTTATCTGATTCACCAGGCAATTGTTGGTCTGATGGGAGGCTTTCCTCTTTGGAAGAGAGTCACCTGTATTAATGTAGTTAAACCTGAACCCCAGGTCACCTTCATTTTCGTGCATTATATGAATACATTGGTATGTGACTCAAAGGTCCATAGTTCATTTAAAAGAATTTGAAACAACATTGCTATGTGGCAAAAACAGAAAACTTCATAAACCCCAAATCATCCAAGCCTTCAAGCCAAAAACCAAACACACTCATAGCCAATCGTAGATAATAGAAGTAGAGAATAAATCAAAAGATATAAGTAGTAGCTACTGAGAAAAGCATAGTTGAGCATCAGGAGTTCAGGTTATCTCAAACAACAAAGATGGTTTATTCTTTCTAACCTACTGGACCTGCTTCAAATTCTGATTTCAACCGTTTGCCTCAAGGCACCTCCCTATTTTTTTTTTTTTTTTTTTTTTTTTTTTGATGGAAAAGGACAAGAATTTTTAAATGTATTTAAGGTTTGCAATGTTAATGTCCAAGTGTAATGGCCTAATTTTTTCTTTATTTTATTTAGGTTTGAACGGGATTTTATTTCATATTAGTTGTTTCCTATTCTTAGTTTCCTAAATTAAAATAGTAACGATATGCCTATATATTTATGGCTTAATGTAATGTTTTACAAATTTAAAATTTGTTTCCACTTAGTTTGTGAACAAACACTCTTTGATTGGTCCAAAGAGGACTAATTATTACTATCAAGAGAGGATTAAAACATTTTTTTTAGCCTTGTTGTCTATCAATTGGCGTTCTCTACTTGTTCATAGCACATTCCCCCTTCCCCGGCCCCTAGATTTAAACAACAATCTTACCATTGCAGGAGTTGAAAAAAATGTTCCAGCCCAAAAGATGTTCCAGCCAACCAACAAAACAGGGAACACAGAACAATCATTTTTTGCACACAAAAGATGTTCAGCCAAACAGATAGAAAAGGAACATATTATGGCTTGGTTCCCTAACAAACCTCTGAGTAAATTAAAAAATTCACATCAAAAGGATTCGAAAAATACCTATAATTAAAATTCAATCAAAAGGATGAAGTAAACAAAAATAAACAGGGATGAAGCTTAAATTAATTTTATTTAATTGACATTAAAACTAATTTTTGGCTACAATTTGTATTAAAAACTCATACTACTTAAAGATCAAGAAATACCTTGATTGAGAGTGGAATTAACCCAATTGATGTTTCAAAGTAGCAGAATCTGCAAAAAAGATAAAAGAATATGAGAATCAACCTATAGAAAAAATGCATCCATTGACAAATTGTGCAGGCCAGATCAAACAAAATGAACTATTTATTGTTTCTTCATAGATCTACAT